AGTTTATTATATCACCAATTAACTATACGTGTTGGCTTATGAGGTTTGGGTTAGAACCTAGTTTCTAAAGTGTTTTTGTAGATGTTAAAAAGCGTTGGCTGCCTTAATAACCAACGCAAAATTCAAGGGACATTGCCGAAACCCGCCCCCCCACTTCCCTCACTACCAGCCGTCCTGCGAAGGTCGGGTGACTGGAGGTTCGACCAATCAGTAGTGAGCTAGTGTGTAACATGGGGAGATTATCGTGGAACTGACCCTAAGCTGATATATTAAATTCTAAACAGGAAGTAAGGCGTTTGCGAAATTCAAGTGATAACTGTGAATCTCCAACCATGACATGAACAGCAAATGAAAATAGGTAGTGCCAGATAGATACATTATACGGGAAGCGAAAGAAAAATAGTAAACTAGCAAAGAACTGGTGCCTCAGCCGCTAAACACCGGGGGATTTACTAAAGAGGGGATCTAAGCACTTACTGACGGAATGGTTCCATTTGCAATGAGAAAATCTGTCCACAAATTATTCAACTCAAACGCACACTAATACTTATCCACTTACACACACACACACACAATATATATATATATATATATATATATATATATATATATACACACACACACACACACACTCCATCACACACACATTTACTCTAATATTTGCTCACTCACTTCATTACTCACTCTGTCACTGACTCAGTCAGTCACTCGCTCACCCATTCACTTACTCCATTACCCAGTCAGTCACTCGCTCACCCATTCACTTACTCCATTACCCAGTCAGTCACTCTCACCCAGACACTAACTCAGTTACTCCTTACCCAATCTGCAACGCACTTACACAGTCAGTCATTCACTTATTCAAACAGTCACTTACCCGCTCAGTAACTCACTAACTTGCCCACTCAGTTACTCACCCTCTCACTCACTCACTCACTTACCCATTCACCCACTAACTGTATCTCGTGTATGCACCATTCAAGCAACATACTGTTGATACTGACAGGTCTTGGAGTAGCAAACATGGTGACAGGACATCCTGTGGACAGGAAAACCTTGTTCAACCTGGGATCTACATCTAAATCTCTGGTTCCTCACATCTTAGCAGACATCCTCAATGACAAGGAAAACCACGACGGAAGGTCAGTGGACTGTCTTTGTCGTAGAAGTGTATTATTTTTGTCTCTAGTTTTGTTTGTAACCTTTTCTTTCTTTCTTTCTTTCTTTCTTTCTTTCTTTCTTTCTTTCTTTCTTTCTTTCTTTCTTTCTTTCTTTCTTTCTTTCTTTCTTTCTTTCTTTCTTTCTTTCTTTCTTTCTTTCTTTCTTTCTTTCTTTCTTTCTTTCTTTCTTTCTTTCTTTCTTTCTTTCTTTCTTTCTTTATCCTGCTTTTTTTTTCTGTATTCTGTATCATCATCAAGCTTCTTGCCAACCGGCGATCATGCCTCTCCACAACCTGCGATCTCCAAAAGCATTATTCAGTTTGTGTGTTAACACCACCCTGCATGCCATTACAAAAGGTTGTCAAGAATCGTCTTACGTTTTCTTCCTCTGTCTGTTTTTCCACAGATATTTCCAGTAGTCACCTTATATTCCAGGCGTTTTCTTCTCGTAACCCCCCACCACCCAACGACAGTTTATCTCAGACATGTTTGAAAGTTATTCTTTAGCTTCTGTTACAGTCTAATTTCTGTGTTTCGAGCCATTATGTGATTTTACTATATTTTTGGATTCAATTTATTAAGAGTTCTTGAAGAAAGTGCGTACCGGAAGTGTTTCGGTCATTTTTGAAAAAATGCTGAAATTAGTGCACACTAGTGTAAGGACACTACTTGCATAAAGATAAATCATTAACCAATAGGTCTACTAGCTTACTCCAGAAATTCAGTTTCCGAGCTTAATAATTAGCCCTCGTATTCCACCCCACCCCCACCACCCACCCCTAGTTTTCATCGCCTCGAATGTTTGCAGTAAGCTACTTGTGTTTTACTACGCTGAAACTAAACTTTTATATCTTGTACCTTTTCTTTGAAATGTGCCTCAGTCTGGTCTCTGTTATATTCCATTCACACATCCACCGCGTCCTTGTCATTATACATCATCGACTACATCTTTTGACTTGTCTACCACATCTGTAACAATAGACCTGGCAAAGCAAGAACCCCGGACTTGTTTATGTACTTTCACCAGAGAGCAGTACACAAACTCCTGGCACCTCTGCTCCGAGGTAGGTACCGGCAGCAGAGTAAATCTCCCGGGAAGAGTTGCAGGAGAAGTCAATGTAAAGTTTATCTGATCTTTCCCTTGTTCCACTTACCTTCGGGTTATATTTCAGAAGATGTAACTTTGACCTGGTTGTAGTTGTTGGCGAATAGTTATAAGTGAGGGGTTCTCAAAATGGGTTCGGGGGTCTTCCGTGGATTTGTTGATCTTCTATGGCGCCTCTGAACCTGCATGGATTAATGTATCTTCAAGTAAAGTAAAGTAAAGTAAAGTAAAGTAAAGTAAAGTAAAGAACCCCTTTTTTGACGCATTGGGGCGTATTGGGCATAAACGGCTAGATTTATATTGAATAGACCAATCGGCACTAAACTTGTGATGTGGTTAACATCACATCCGCTGCCTTTACTTCCAATGATACTTCCCAGGATTTATGTAGTAGTAAAGCAAAGAAAAGATCCCTTTTCACACCTCAGGGGCATCGGGCATATGGGAAGAGCGTCCCATATTTTTTACAGACCAATCAGTACTGGGTGGGTAATGTGGTCAGCATTACGCCATCTGTCTTTACTTCCCCTAGACAGCCATCCTAGTACCCATTTAAGACTGGGTCGACCTGGGAACCAAGGTCATTTGGATATTAAAAGACTCTTCCAATCTTCTTCCAAGGGTCTATGGATTTCCCGTGTGTTTATGGATGTACCAAGAGTTTATGCCTCGACACTAGTAGCGGTAACAGAGGAAGCCGATGCAAAAGAAGAAGAAGGGGGAGGAGGAGGAGGAGGAAGAAAAAGTAAGAAAGAAGAAGGAAGAAAAAAGATAGAAAAAGAAGAAAGATGAAGACACACACACAAAAAAAGCATAAGAAAAAAAAAGAAGGGGACAGAAGAACAAAAAAAAAAAGAAAACTAGAAGAAAAAATAAAGAAGAAGGAGAAAGATGAAAAAGAAAGAGAAAGAAGAAGAAGAAGAAGAAGAAGAAGAAGAAGAAGAAGAAGAAGAAGAAGAAGAAGAAGAAGAAGAAGAAGAAGAAGAAGAAGAAGAAGAAGAAGAAGAAGAAGAAGAAGAAGAAGAAGAAGAAGAAGAAGAAGAAGAAGAAGAAGAAGAAGAAGAAGAAGAAGAAGAAGAAGAAGAAGAAGAAGAAGAAGAAGAAGAAGAAGAAGAAGAAGAAGAAGAAGAAGAAAAAGAACAAAGAGAAGAAGAAGAAGAAAAAGAAGAACAAAGAGAAGAAGAAGAAGAAGAAGAAGAAGAAGAAGAAGAAGAAGAAGAAGAAGAAGAAGAAGAAGAAGAAGAAGAAGAAGAAGAAGAAGAAGAAGAAGAAGAAGAAGAAGAAGAAAGAATAAGGCGCGCAGCCATTGACAAAACAGGGTGGGGCAGAGCTGTTCAACATGCCTCCCCCTCCCCCAATAGTCTAGGGTCGGAGAGGTAGGGCTAAATCCTTGTTTGGTGCGCAGTAATAATAATAATAATTATAATTGAAAGGTTAACCCTTTTCACAGCGCTTGATCTGCAGGCGCCTATGACTGCCAAAAGACACCCAGAAATTTTACGTTTCTCTCAAATGTCCTCGTCTAACGATGCGTCGTGTCTCCCTGCTACTGTGTGACCAGGTGTAGAAGGTTCAACACTGTTGAACTTTTCCCTGAAATGTTTGCTCCACTTTGTCAATACGGCGCTTCCACAGACGCCTTCGTTTCCGATTTTTCAGTTTAAACCCGGATGTCGTCATCAACATTGATTGGTCCAGTAGCGACAAATAAATGGCGAACGTGGCTTTTCAATTCTTTGTGTGCGATCAGAAACTACCACATTAAAAGTTAAAGTTTGTCCGTAAATTTTGGGCTCTGCTTCAAGACGTGAATCAATACTAATCAATGCAGCGATATAGACAAATAGAACAGAAAAAGACGAAAAGGGAAGAAAGAAGAAGAAGAAGAAAAGAAGAAGAAGAAGAAGAAGAAGAAGAAGAAGAAGAAGAAGAGAAGAAGAAGAAGAAAGAAGAGAAGAAAGAAGAAGAAGAAGAAAAAGAAGAAGAAGAAGAAGAAGAAGAAGAAGAAGAAGAAAAAGAAGAAGAAAAAGACGAAAAGGAGAAGAAGGAGAAGAAGAAAAAAGAAGAAGAAGAAGTAAGAAGAATTAGTAGAAGAAGAAGAAATAATAATAATAAGAAGAAGAAAAGAAGAAGAAGAAGATATGGAGTAATAATAATAAGAAGAAAAATAAGAAGATATGGAGTTCAGCCCAGCATTTTAGCCTCTCGTAATTATGTTTTTCTTAATGTTCCACTTGATCATCCTCTTTCCCTCAGTCCATTTGTTTCCATTTCAGTGCCTGTTCTGTAATTGGCAATATGGATCCGCTAATTAATGTCTGAAACAAAAATAGGAAACTCTACGTAAACAAAACACAATTCCCGGCTCCACTGCTGCATCCTGTTCTTGACTTCAGCAACGCAGCCATATCTGTCGCCCACGACAAATCTCAGTACTTCCAATCGAGCTTGCATGCCACGACGCTGACGTGCTTAACATCTTCTCGCCTCTTTTTTCCTTTAGCTTTACTGTTGTCACTACGTACCCCAGTTGGTCCTCGTTTAACGATGACCTAAAAAAATGTAGATCAGTTCTTTTGCGGTTAATCAGTTTTTTTTTATTAGACAATTTTAACTCTTTGTGTCACAAGCAACACATCATATGTTTGTTGGTAACTCCTTACAAGAAAGGCTTCTTCTTTATTCCGTTCTTCTTTTGTTGTTAAACTGACGTATCCTAGCAATATTATTTTCGGTGTTTCTGTTTAGTGGGGTTATTTATTATGCGATATCCTTCAGATGCAATATTAATTAATTTTAAATAACTACTGGCAAATATCGCGGCTATGCTGTAAACAAGCACAACGCTTTATTATCACTCAGATGAACGGTGACGAAGACGAAGAAACTGCATGATGACAACACACAATAGGCAACAAATGCTGTTGTTGCCTTGCGAAGTCTGGTAAATGTTATCCAGCAAACGGTTCAACTTTTTGTGCTCTGCTAAATTACAGGATACAAGAGCGCGAAGGTGAACACACAAACTATAGGGGTCATGTTTTCTGGGTCGTGACTTTTTGTGTTGACGAAAGGAAACTGGAGAGATGAGTTGAGACCACAGATGTTGTTAACAGTCGGGTCTCAGTGTTTAGAAAATACAAGTTAGGAATAGATGGAATACTTTTCTAAACATTGTTAGTTGTCTGTGATTTGCTGGTCTGCCTACTTTTTTTTTATAAATAATGTAAAGTAAAGACCTCTTTTCACGCCTCGGGCTCATCGGGCATATGGGAAGAGCACCCGTGTTTTTACAGACTAATCGACACTAGGTGGGTAATGTGGTGAGCGTTACGCCGGCCGTATTTACTTCCCCAGGACATCCATCCTGGTTCCAATTTTTGGCTGGGTCGACCTGCAACGCCGCACACCATTATGAAAATCCACGCAGCCAGCAGTGGGGTTCGATCGCGGTACGTTGAAATTACGAGTCGGGCTCGCAGCGCATTTTTATTAATATTTTACCGAAATGTCGGTGTCTGCTTAGGCGTAGCCAACGCGCTTCGTAATGCCGGAGTGCTGGGTTCGATCCCAGCTGTGTACGGGTCGTCTTGAGTTGGTTTCGACAGTGGTACCGAGACCTGACCGTTCAGTAAGCAATGGCAAACTACTGAAAGTAAAATTTTCCTTAAAAAACCACAATAGTCAAAAAATGCTGGGGTTGGTTCTGCAACGTCCTGTAAAGGATACGCTTACACCAAAATAACCTTCTTCTAGAATTAGTTTCAGAACTAATTTTATCCGCCTTTAAACCCACAGTATTTATGACTGCGAGAGGCTATATGGTTAAGTAGAAGTTGAGGCTGGAAGGCTGGGTTTCATTCATCTGGACCTTATC